ATTTTGCAAGGGCGGGGCGCGAAGGTGCAAGGCCCTGGGGGGCCAGCGGGGCTGGCCGTAAAAGTGCGCCGTTTTATCGATGTTGTCTTGGAGAACATCGGTGAAGCGGCGCACTGTTACGAGTGGCTTGGAATGCGCAGGCAGGCTGCTGAAATGAGGGACGCCCAACACGGACCGAACACCCCTTTGGAACCAGCCGCGGCTCAGCCGCGCCTTGGTGCACGAGAACGGCTAGAGGAACAACAACGGAATGCCCAAATGGATACCGAGCCCCTTCCGCACTCAAAACGCGCCCCATTTCAGCGTCTTGCGCCTTGACTGCGAAGAAAAACGCTGACCAGCAATTCTAATCCACATGTTCTGGCCGCGGCGAGGCTCGGGCGGTCTGCAGCGAGCTTCCGAGCAGCGACAGGATTGCAGGCTTACCGATCGGTCGGAAGACTAAGCTGGAAACATGACACATGAAGTAGGAAGGCGCTGAAAGTAAGTAGATTGGGGGTCCGCCCGCCCCCTAAAGAGGACGGAACATGTGAAGCCACCCGATCATTGAAGTAGGAAGGCGCTTAAAGTATATTGGAACCTGGGACCCCAAAAACTATGCATTCAACGACCGATGGGTATAACGGTGGCCAGGGGCCATGCTGGAACGGAGGCGCAGAGGGGGGAGGAAACTGAGCGGGGAGGGAGGGGATAGATGGGGAGTGAACGACTTGGGCAGCGCATAAGGCGGAGGTGGGGTGGGTGACAAGGGAGGGCGCTGAACCCAATGCAGCAACAATCCACGGAGGCCACCTGCGCCACCTTGTCGGCCCTTGCGAATCAACGCTGATCGACACTAAACGGTAACCGACACCACGCCGACGCTAATCGAAACTAAACCGTCGTTCCCCCGCCGACTCCCAAACGCTAGCGTGCGCACATGCGCTCTAGTACAGTCGAAATCCATAGTAAGGACGGGCTGTAAGGACGCAAGGGCCTCGGACGCCGAAATCCGTACTGTTTGGGTGGCGGATTGCGAACACCTTGAGGGGCTGGCCAGCGAAAAGCGCGAAGGACGGGCCGCAGAAGCAAACGCGCAAGGGTACCCCGAGGAGTCCTCGGATTCACGGCTCGCGGATGTCCTCGGCGAGGACATCCGTGAGCCGTGAATCTTTACTATGAGTTTTGACTGTAACGGCTCCCATGCATTGTTGCTGAAAAGGGCAGCGCTGTCAGCCTGCTCCTCCGCTCACGGCCTGGCGACGCAGCCGCGGAGGCGGGCGGCGACGCGGTCGGACTGGTGGGCGATCCTGTTCATCATCCTGGGTGATGGGCGACGCAAAAAAGCTGCTCGCGAGAACGATGCGATACTTGATGGGCAGATTTTCCACCACCACCACCACAATAGGTAGGAGAGGGGGGGAGGAGGAGGAACGAGAGGATGAGAAGGCGGACCTCGTCACCTCCCCGTCCTCCCCGTCCTACTTATGGTAGTGGTGGTGGAAAAGTGGCCCACCAATAACGACCTTGCGCTGCGGCTCACGCTGGCTGCCCGCGCGGCGCGCCACGTCGAAAACGAAAGCGCTCGCGCGCGACCTTGCGCGGGCAACTTGCTCGAGCCTTTGTGTTGCGTCGCTCCGCTGACCTCGCCCTCTCGCGCAGCTTCTTCTTCAGGTCTTTGATCTGATCCTTCTGTTCGAAAATGCGCTGGTAGTAGATGTCCGCGGCCTTCTGCGTCAAGCGCACGGCGCTGGAAAGGTGCTTGACCGTCTTTTTGAGGTCTTTGACCTGCTCTGGCAAGGGTTTCTCGACGGGCTTCATTGCAGCAGCTGGCATGAGGTCTGATGGGTACGTCTCCGCCGCCACTACCATAGGTAGGACGGGGGAGAACAGAGGATGGAGAGGTCGTCCTCCTCCTACTCCTCCCCCTACTCTTCCTCCTCCACCCCCCTCTCCTACATATGGTAGTGGCGGTTGGAGGTGCGCCTATCAAGGTTGAGTGGGCACAAGAAGCAACAAGCCCTTCAGGGCCTGAAGGGATAAACATGCCAGCCTCGAACGCCCCCCCCCCCACACACTGGAAATGCATGCCGGATCGGGACCTTCGGTCTGGGTCGGGGTGGTTTGATGGGCGGTGAATTTCGGGATGGGGCGGTGAATTTCGGAATGGGGTTGGTGAATTTCTGGACGGGGCGGTCGAGGCTGGCGGCTGGCGGGGCGCGCCGCGCCCGAGCCTCGCAGTCTCGCGAGCCGAAAAGACCTGCGGGCGAGGGAGGGTGGAGGGTGGAGGGTAGAGGAGCGCAGCCATCGGCCGCGGGAACGGCGGCGGAAGTACCCAGCGCTATCGCAGATCGATCCAGCTCGAAAAATGCATCGAAGGATGCGGCCTAGGGCCCTGGTCGCAGCTTTACCCCCGCCCCCGCACCATCGCTCATCGTTCCCTCTCCCCCCTCCCCCATCATGCCCCCATCCCCTCGACCCGTGGCGCGGGCGGAGCGGCGGCCGCGCCTCGGGTCGCCACCGAGGTCGCCGCGGCCGCACCAGGGGCCAGGGGGGGATGCCACCCCCGCGCAGCTCCGCGCTCGAGCCAGCAGCGAGCGCGGGGGCGCGGTTCCCCCCTCTCCCCCTTCTGTCGTCTCCTCTTCTCTCCTCTCCTCCCCTCTCCTCTCCTCCCCTCTCTCCTGTCTCAGCCTCTCTCCTCGCTCCTCGGTTCTTTCCCCTCCCTGCCTCTCCTCTCTCTCCTCTCTCCTCTCCTCTTTCCTCTCTCCTTCTCTCTTTATCGCTCTCTCTCTCTCTCTCTCTCTCTCTCTCTCTCTCTCTCTCTCTTATATATTATCTTCTCTTATCGTATCGTAGCTTCTCTTCTCTTCTCTTCTCTTCTCTTCTCTTCTCTTTTCCTCCCCCCTCTTCTCCCCCCTTTCCTCTCCTCCTCTCCCTTCCTCTCCTCTCCTCTCCTCCTCCTCCCTCCTCTCCTCCCCTGTCCCCGCTCCCCTCCCCCCTCCTCCCCTCCCCTGTCCTCTCCTGTCGTCTCCGCCCTGCTTAGCACTGCGAGCGTGGTGAGTTATGTATGATCATCCATAGAAAAAACTATGAATTACAAAAGCTGTATTTGAAATTTCTGATACTTTTTAAGGAGGCCGACGGACGCCCGACTTTTCTGTTGTGGACAATACATAACTCCGCGCAAGCGCGCGCGGGGAGTTGTATACTGTCCACGATAGAAGAATAGCCATGTAATTCCGAAAACTAAATTTGAATTTTCTGGGGCCCTTTAAAGAGGCCGAAGGACGCGCAGACTTTTCTGTCGTGGACAATACATAACTCTACGCAAACGCGCGTGGTGAGTTATATATTGTCCGCAATAGAAATAACAACCATGTAATTCCAAAAACTGAATTTGAATTTTCTGGGGCCCTTTAAGGAGGCCGAAGGACGCGCCGACTTTTCTGTTGTGGACAATACAGAACTCCCCACGCGCCTCCCCTCCCTTGTCCTCTCCTCTCGTCTCCTCCCCACCCTTCTTTACCCCCCCTCCTCCTCCTCCTCCTCCTCCTCCTCCTCCTCCTCCTCCTCCTCCTCCTCCACGTCCTCCTCCTCCTCCTCCTCCTCCTCCTCCTCCTCCTCCTCCTCCTCCTCCTCCTCCTCCTCTCCTTTCCTCTGCTATCCTGTCCTTTCCTCTCCTCTCTTCTCCTCTCCTCCGCTCTGGCCAGCGGGGCGGCGCGGGGCGAGCGCGGGGGCGCGGCCCCCCTTCCTCTCGGGCCTCCTCCCCCCTCATTTCCTCGTTCCTCCCCCTCTCCTCTCCTTTTCGGTGCAAGGGGCCGAGGGGACGGGCGGGGTGATCGAAAAAAAAGCGGAAGGCGTGGCGAAGGCAGCGGGGGGATGGGCGGGGGCGGCGGAGTGGGCGGAGGGAGGTTTGAGAGGGCATTTCCAAAAAATAGTGAGGAACGTGATCTTTAACAGGGAGCCCTGGAGCGCCGCTTGGGGCCATCTTTGACGTTATCGATCAAAGGAGGGAGTGTCCCGATCGAGGCCCCCTCTTCGGGGGCCACGATCTTCGTGAGGGACGTCATAAAAATGGCCCTCCCAGGGCCGAAGAAGGACCCTCCGACCCGCGACACCCCCCCAAAAAGTCCAATGAAGGGGGTGGGGGGAGGGGTAAATCCCTCCCCGGAGGGGAGGAGGGGTTTCTTGGATCGCCTCGCCCAGCCTCGCCCACAGGGCTGGGGGGATTCTCGCGGATCGACAATTGCGCGTCGTGAGGCAAGCTCACGACCCGCATGTTTTCCCCAGTTGGGGCTCCAGGGACCTGACCAGACCGGCATGGCCCGAGAGATGGAGGGACTTAGTCATTGTGCTCCACGTGTCTGCGAATGGCCCTCTCCCTTGCTCTTCGCTCCCCTCGCCCTTCGCATCGTCCTTTTTCAACTGGGTCCCCTCCCCCGAGGTCGAAAAGGAGAACGAGTGTCTTGTCGAGGCGGGTGATGACGAAAATGAGGAGGAGGAGGAGGAGGAGGAGGAGGAGGAGGAGGAGGAGGAGATGGTCAAGGGTCGCCCGCGCGTTCGTGCATGTCTTTGCCCCTGTCTGAGCCCCCACCCCGTGGATCAGGCGCGTGTTGTCCGCGGATTCCCCGCGAGGAGCGCATCCATGCGACCGCGCGTCCCCGGAATCACGCCCCGGAACCCGAGACCGCGAGGGCGTGGATCTGGATGCGTTTGGAGAGCGGGTGGCCGACAGCGGCCAGGGCATCGAACAACCACTCCAGGGGGCACCGACCCTCTCCTCACACCCGTCGGCGGCGATGGATGGCGACAGGGTGCCCCTCAGGCTGCCTGGCCCGGCTCAAGCGCCCGACCAGCTCTGACACTCGTCGCTCGAATGGTCGGGGGCGGAAAAGAGGGGGGTGATGACTAGGGGGGGGGTGGATATCATGGCGGGGGCCATGATATTTCCCCAGATCTCATGGCGCCTCTTCTTGTTTCATTACGTCCCTGGCCCCTCGCTGGGCCGCGCACATGCCGCCGGTCATGATTTGCACCCCCCCTCTTGGACACCCCCTTCTTGGCCGCTCCCGAAATGGGTGCGCTCGCCGCTCGCGAGCGGGAGCGGGCGGGCACCAAGAACGAGTTCTACTACGACCTGGCGGCCCGCATCCGCGCGCAGCTGCCCGGGGCGGAGGCGCGCCCGCGCGCCCCCGCGCGCGAGCGAGGCGCTGCGCGCGCGCGGGTCCCGAGGCCGAGGCCCTGCGCGGGGTGTCAGAGCCCCGAATCATCAGGGGTAACTCAGGTCAGGGCTAACTCGGGTTCGTCTTTCGGGAACCCAAACCCGAGTTACCCCGGACCCGAGTTACTCCGGATAACTCGGGCGTCCGTGCGCGGCGGCACGCCCCGGAGACCTCTCTGGATGTCGAGCGTCCTGTCGGCGAGCCGGGGGGGCGGGGGGGGAGTCGAGTCGGGCGGGTGCCTCGACAGGTGGAAAATGCAATAGTTGAAAAATGCTCTGGGGACGATATTTCGACTAGTTTAAAGCATTTTTAAACATTTGTTGAGCGGCCGCGGGCGAGGTGCACGTATGGAGCGAGACGGCGGGGAGCTCGGTGCCCGAGGACTTCGACGGCTTCCGCGCCCGGAACATCACCGTCCACCTGGACTCGGGGCTCAAGATCGGGGGTTCGTAGATCGCAGAGGGAGGGTTGTCGCAACGTGGGGCTGGGGAACGGGCCTGGCTGGATGCTCCCGTTTAATGCGCTTCCTTCGTCCAGGGGCCGTTTGGAGCGATTTTCCCTCCAACCCCACCATTGCCCCAACCCCACCTTCGTGCCCCCCCCGACAAGAGACGGGGGTCAGTGCAAACAGGGGCTAGCCAGGGCACCGGATCCTGCAGGATCTCGCGAGGAACGCCTCTGGCTGACCCGGGCTAGCGAGCCGCAAGGCGGCCGCACATATTGGCCGACCCGGACCTGCGAAGCCCTGCGTTGCAGTTTTTTCTTGTTCCGGCATTGCAGTGTTTCGGTTTCCTGTTGACCCGGGTTCGTAGATCCTCGGTGGACTCGGCGCGATGGAGGTGGGTACGGTAAGGCGGGGCACGGAGACCTTCAGGTTTCCCAGCTGATGGTCGACAGGACTCGCTTGTCGGTGTCGCCGCGCCGAGGGCGTTGCCTGTTCGAGACAGAAAGTTCAGTCGGAGGCCCGGAGGTTGACACCAGCACCAATGTTGGCGGTGTCGCTCCACCGAGGGAAGATGATCTCGATCTCGGTGATGGCGGTAATATTCGGGCTTCAGGTGGCCGAAATGTTGCCACCGACACTCGAATCTGGGATCATCTTCCCTTGGTGGAGGCAGCGCAGCCCCCCTGGGTTGGTGTTGGTTTGGTGCCCATTACCAAGCCTTCGAGTCAGGGGCAACGTCAGAGGGGATGGGCTCAATAGGGGACGCACCGAGCCCCAATCGCCCATTCATCGCCGATAGGGGCCCACGCGGAAGCGCAAGCGCGACTGAAGGCGCGTGAAGCAGCAACGGGTCCCGCCTCCGCACAGATGCGACGCGCCCCTTCGCCAATCCAGGCGGCGTTGGCTTCCTGCCTCCAGGGTGCCTTCCCCGAGCCGTGGATCCAGCGCCCGTGCGCCCGATCCGCAGTCCATGCGAGCGACGCAGGCAGGCGGGGGGTCCGCTGTGTGGACACTCGCGCGCAGCTTGCCCGCGCAGGGTCGTGCGTGGGCGCCCTCGGCTCCGGTGCACGGTGCCGCGCTGGGCGGCCCGCGCAAGGAGGAGGAGGAGGAGGAGGAGGAGGAGGAGGAGGAGGAGGAGGGGGAGGAAGTGAGGAGGAGGGAGGAGGAGGAGGAGGAGGAGGAGGAGGAGGAGGATGAGGAGGAGGAGGAGGGGAGGAGGAGGAGGAGGGGGAGGAGGAGGAGGAGGGGGAGGGAGGGGGAGGAAGGAGGAGGGAGGAGGAGGAGGATGAGGAGGAGGAGGAGGAGGGCGGAGGAGGAGGAGGAGGAGGAGGAGGAGGAGGAGGGGGAGGAGGAGGAGGAGATGGAGGGAGGAGGAGGCAGGCAGGAGGAGGAGGAGGAGGAGGAGGAGGGAGGAGGAGGAGGAGGAGGGGGAGGAAGGCAGGATGCGGGGAGGCGGAAGGAGGAGGAGGAGGAGGAGGAGGAGGAGGAGGATGAGGAGGAGGAGGAGAGGAGGAGGAGGAGGAGGAGATGGAGGAGGAGAGAGGAGGAGGAGGAGGAGGAGGAGGAGGAGGCGGGAGGAGAGAGGGGGAGCGGGGAGCGAGGAGAGAGTAGGGAGGGAGGGGGAGGGAAGAGCGAGGATGGAGGAGGGAGGAGGGAGGAGGAGGAGGAGGAGGAGGAGGAGGAGGAGGAGGAGGAGGAGGACCGCGCAGGCCAGCGCAGGCAGGTCGCCCTGCCAGCGCGTGCCCGACGCCCGGGCCCTCCGCGCCGGAGGACGAGGACCCCTTCGGCTCGGTGGCTCAAAGCCGGGGTCCTGAGGGACGGGGTCCTATAGTACAGGAAGGGGTCCACGCGTGGATTGGCGGTGTGTCCGGCACCTCGTCCACAGGACCCCAACCCTCAGGACCCCATCTTTGAGCCACCGATCGGCGGCGACATCCGGGCCCTGCCCTCGCCGATCAAAGGGCCAGGCAACTCGATGAGCGGCGGCGGTGGGGTTCGGAATTCGTCGAGCGCCTGGCGAAGTCCCAACCGCATCCCCGCCCCTCATCGATTCAGGAGGGACGATGGCGGCTTCGGACGTCGCCTTTCAAGCCGGACATGTTTTCTGATGGCCCGAGGGCCAGGAGGCGGGCCCCAGGAGGCCGACGTCGAGGAGAGCCGCCCAGATTGTGCAGGTGGATCATGTCGTCGGAGGTTTGGGGCCCCTGGGGGCACGCCGCCGCTGCCGCCCGCCGCGTGCTCCTGTGCAGAGCCGCCCGCTGCGGCCCGCGGCGCCGTGCGGACCTCGCCGCCGCTGGCCGCGCTCCCCTGGCGGGCACCTCGGCGGGGCCTGCGGTCGGGCGCCCAGGAAGGCAGCCGGGTCCTTGGCGGTCCGTGTCGGCGGCGCACAGGAGGTGGGAGGGTGAAAGAGGAGGTCTTCAACAGGGGGTCTTCGATGCGGGCTGAATGGCCCATGTATGCTCAATGTATCGCTCATGTACGAGATCGGGTATGATTGGCAGCCAATGTTGGCGGTCGTGGAGGGCCGGTCGTTCGTGCCCGCGCGTTGCCCGCGCGGGCAAACGCGCCGTCTATCCATTATCGTTCATGCGTGCGGGCGTTCTTGCATATTGCGCGTGGGGCGGAGAGGTGGCGTGCAAGTGTGTCTTGACTATGCGATTGATGATCGCGTGCGTTCCCAAACCATGACTTGTCAACCCCAGGACAGATTTAAAATAAGTCCCGCGATTCTCCCAAAATGTGAATTCACATTTTTTTCATGTTTTCAAAATGTGAATTCACATGTTCCTTTTTCCCAAAATGTGAATTCACGTTCTGGCCCCTTTCATAAAGATTCCTATTCAAAATTCCAAACTGTGAATTCACATTTTCCTTTTTTCCAAAATATGAATTCACATCTCCCTTTTTCTCAACATGTGAATTCATATCTTGCGTTTCCCCGCAATGTGAATTCATATTTTGCAATGTCCTTCAAGACCCCCAAAACTGAAGCGCAGTGTTCCGAATGCCAGATCGGCTGGGCAGATTTGACACTCAGCTCACCGCCTCTGTTTATCCAAACCTTTTTGTTGCACCTTCAGCGCACGTTGCCTTCGTCGCCTTTTCCCAAGCGCCCCGCCCCCTTGCTTCGTTTACCCTCGAGCCTCGCGCATGGGCGCAGGCGGGGAGCTTCAATTTGTTCCCCCGCCGAGCACAGCAATCGAGGCCGCATCGCCCATGCATCGCCCATGAAGACACCATTGCCGGGACCCTGCGCCCGACCCCCACTTTCACCCTCCAAAGAGGGAGGGGCGGCGGGGGCGCGAGGGGGGGGGGGTTCTAAGAGGGCGGGGGAGGGGTTCTCAGAAGGCAGGGCCTGCTCAGAAGCGCCCGGGGGCTTCGAAGGAGGCAGTTTACAACCCGAGCGGGCCTGGCAGAAACCGCCTGCCTTCGCAGAAGCTCCCCGCCTCCGTTGGCGGCCGCCCCCTCGCACCACCCCCGTTGCACGCGCCGCCAATGATGTAGGTGTTTTTTTTTTTGGCCCCAAGGGCCTTCCACGGGCTCCTGGGCCATCAACATAAGGCATGGGAGGGTAACGCACCCAGACCCCGACGATTGGCGTGTACCGAACGGCCCTGGGCGCTCACGACGCGGCCCTGCCCTGTTCGATTCCTCCCTGGGGTGCGTTTGCTAAACGGCGTCGCTCGTCGGGGTGCTTAGTATGGGGGGGGGATTTTCTGCCTTCTACACTTGGCGAAGGATGGAAAGACT